TTGTAATTGATAAGAAAGCATAATATCAAATAAATCGATTCGATACGATATTTTATGTTATAACGATGAGTAAGAGCTTTTGATAAAGTACTCGAAGACAAAGAATGATTAAATACGAGGTTCTATGTTAATACGATGCGAGAAATTTTTAATAATATCCACAACTTCATTGTTGACAGTCAACATTACAGTCAATAGAACTGATAAGAGTTTATGATGTTTGTTCCTACCCTTGTTCCGTTTATAAATTATTTTATCTATTTATCTGTCTACATTTGCTTACAATGTTTACTTTTCATCAGGTAACAACTGGGAATTACACCTGTAAAATTTGCAAAAAAGGTTGCAAAAGCAGGCGTGGATTAAAGAGCACACAAAAAGCCACAAAAACACTGTTGAAGAAGGCCTTCTGGATATTTCACCGCTAAACAATATCATATGTGAGGAAAAGTTGAGGTTTATTAGCAACGAATGCTACCCAGAAAATCATAGAAAAGAGCTTAAGGGAGTTGATCAGAATTAATTTTTGAAGGAAGAACTACTCAGAGCAATTACAGACCATTTTAACAATTTAATGGAAGATGGTAATGCAGAAAGGTTTTATTCCCAGATTTATGCACATATGCATTAAAGAGCGTGTGTCATGAACATGATTGGCTAATGCAATACAATAATCTCTTTTGTTTAGTACAAAGCATGGAATCGAAGAAGAAATGAAAAGTCCGAAACAATGGAATTCCACTCCAAACGCTTTTGTTTTATTAGCCAACTGCTAATTCGACATATGCCCTTTCAATTCAAATAAGTTCCTCCCTGGTATAAACCAAGGCAGCCTTTCCACTAGCCTGGGTGTGGTATAAGATGATTGCACAAATGAAGTGCCAAGTAAGGGTACTCAATATGTGAGGGTACCCAAATAGGGAGGGTACTCGAATAGGGATGGTACGTTGGCCTGCCCTTTTAGAGTACCATTTTCGCCTGCATGTTGTTTATAAATATTATCATAATCACAAACATTAAATTTTTATAGAAGATCTTGGATTGTTTATCAGCTCAGAGATAGTACTCTAATTCATTTGAATTGGAACATAGGGGATTAGGGGGAGGATATCTTTTGAACAAATCTTTTACTTTTTAATTGCGACCTATCAAAAATCCTAAGTCTAAAAAAGTGGTCTAAAATTTATCATTATTTTTCCTCTTTAGATAGCTAGGGGGGGGGGAGTGGTGATGCATTTTGATTTTATATTAAAAAAAGGGAAAAAAAGGGGGGTCGAGTAACTATTGCGCTGGTTACAAAATTCCACTCATAATTACGCTAGTTGATAAAAAGGCAATAGTTGACGACAAATTGTTTTGATATAAGAAATAGGAGAGTAATAGGGGAGTGCAATTATTACTAAATTTTTAAGTCAGAAAAGACGAATTGAGCTGCAGTACAAGTAGGTTATTAGTTTGTTAAGTTTTATGAATTGTACAGTATATACTTCACTTATTTGATAATATACGTATCGATATGACTGTAGTAAAAATTGTCATGTTTTTATTATATAAGTTTCATTTCGAAGTGTGTTGTAGATGTTCTGTTTGGGCATCATAGGAATGTAGCGAGAGCGCTATTTTAACTATCAGGTGTTTTTAAAAAGCTCTAGCCCTGGTCCCCCACAGGGGCGCTGCCTCTTGACCCTACGGCAAGCCCCAAACCCCTCGCCGCATACCCACTTTTGCAACTCACGCTACGTCACTGAAAAATGCATGTCTTTCTCTGTGTAGGGAGATTGTTGGACTCTGATAACAGCAACCCTACACAATTTTTTTGCATTGTTGAATCGAGGTGGTTTGTGGAGAATCAATTCAAACAGGGAGACAATTCTTCTAACTGCCGAAAAGTGTTTTCAGAATGAAACGAAGAAGCTGGTTTGACATAGAATTGACTTCAGGCAAATTTTGCAATCTTCAACGGGGAATAAAACAGTGCAAAGGAACATACAAGAGCTGACTCTGCAGAACTTGAAATTGACATTAATTTTGCCCAAGATGTAACAAACTGCATTTAGAACTTTAGAACTTAGGGCTCGATCCTCTTCACTTGCCAAAGACATTGTGGAGGGTCACAAGATAAAAGCTAAACATTCTAAAAGCAAAGCTTTGAGAAAGGAAATAAAGTTAACACAGGAAGACAAGGCAGAAAATCTGATGCAGATTAATTTTTCTTTAATTAAATTGTTTTCATCAACATTCTAAAGTTTCTGATGAAGTTTTCCTCAGGCAATAAAAAAAGATTGCCATGTTTCAAAAAGTGGCAATTAAAGATTGATACAAACATCCAAGAAATTTAAAGGCAATGCCAGAATGTATCACAACTTAAAAAATAACAAGACTCTACATAATTTAAGAATAGCTTTCTTTATCGCTAGTATAGCATTATGTTTTAAACTTGATTTGATTTTCTTCTTATACTGTATATAATGTTGTTATAATTTTAAATTGATAATATTCACAGTTTGAGTTTTAATTAGCTGTAGGTGTTTACACCTTATCTCGTGTTTTGATTGTTTTGAATTATTGACAGAATAATTAACATATATTTTGGTGCCAAATGGAAAATCTTCAAGCAGCTAGCATCAAAAACATTTGGACTAGATGGCCTTAATTAGCTTCTTTAAAGCTATTAGACGTTCATTTAGTACGCCAACTTTACACACATTATTTATTATTATTATTATTATTATTATGGCTAATTAAGTGATTCACAGACACCTAGATGTTAATTGGTCCGGATAATATAGGAGGGAGCAGTCAGCAACAAGCTGACAAAGGTCCCATTCTGTCATCTCAAGTTTACATAGACAATGTCTGTCTCAAAATCCTGGCTGTCCCTAGCAGTGCTGTCTTTTGTATCACCTGTAACTTTACATAAATTCCGATCTTTAAAACAATATGATATACACCCTAATGCCCCAATCACAACAGGGATGACTGTCACCTTCTTCATATTCCACAGATTTCCGATTTGCTCCTTTAATGGTTGATATTTCTCAATTTTTTCTTGTTCTTTACCTTTTACCCTATTATCACCAGGAATGGCAATATCGATTATCTTCACATCCTTTTTTCCTTGTCAACGACAACAATGTTTGGCCTTCTAGCTTCAACAACCCTATCACATTGAATCATAAAATCCCACAGTAGCTTAAACTTGTGATTCTCTAAAACTCCTTCAGGTTTCTTTTATACCATTTTGTGGCTCTTTCAAATCCGCACTTTTCCGCGAACAACCAATGAATATACCTTGCCACATTGTCATATCGTCTTTTATATTCTGTCTGTGCCAGTTTAGCACATTCGCTCACCAGATGACTAACTGTTTCTCCCTTGTCACCGCACATTCTACATAAAGGCGTATCACTTGTTTTATCAATGTAGTGCTTGGTATAATTAATGCGCAGCGCCTGCTCCTGTGCACTACACACTAATGCTTGAGTGCACCCTTTCAGATCTCCGTTCCTTAACCATGACCAGCTTTTTTCCCAATCAATTCCGTCAGTATTCTTAGTAAATTGCCCATACATCGGCTTATCTTTCCATCGTTTCTCCAAGCGCCTTTTTGTCTCATTCTTATGTTCATTCGGTGCTACTGCCTCCTCAGTATTCATTGCCCCAAGGTCTCTCACTTTTGACATAATATTGCCTCTAGCATGCTTCACATACCAAGCTAGGTTGTTTGTCTCATTTTCAATACAATACTCACAACTTATCAGCCCCCTACCACCCTTTTTCCTGCTAACATAAATTCTTGCTACATCGCTTCTAGGATGAAGTTCTTTACTCATTGTCATTAATTTCCTGGTTCTTCTGTCCATACTTTCTAGCTCGTCTTTTCTCCATTTAATTATTCCTGCTCCATAGCGCATCAGGGAGATTGCCCAGGTATTTGTTGCTTTAATCTTATTCCTTCCATTGAGTTTTGACTGCATGATAAGTCTAACCCTTCTGAAATATTCTCTTTGAAATATTTTCTTCATCTCCTCTTCTTTTATTCTATCCAACTCTGTTATTCCCAGATACTTGTATCCTTCTTCACCAACCTCCTTGATCTTTTCCCCATTGACAAGTTCAATCCCTGCACTTCCTGTTAATTTTCCCCTTCTTAAGGTCACAACACCACACTTTTTTATCCCAAATTCCATTCCTATATCTTGACTAATAAGGTTGACAGTAGATGTTAGACTGTCAATTTCATTCTCGTTTTTCGCGAACAACTTCAAGTCGTCCATGAACAACAGGTGATTGATCTTAACACCATCCAATGTATATCCCATTTTGACTTTTCTGAGGACTTCGGTAAGGGGTATCATGCAAATGACGAACAAAAGTGGTGATAGGCTGTCTCCTTGGAATATTCCTCTGCGAATATTTACAAGCCCTAGAGTTTCCCCACACGATGTCAGTTGTACTTTCCAGTTGGTCATCGATCTTTCTATAAAGTTAACAACATTGTCTGATACTCTATAGAGCCTTAGACATTCTATTATCCAGCTGTGGGGAACCATGTCGTAGGCTTTCTTATAGTCAACCCACGCCATGGCTACGTTTTTATGCCTCCTTTTACAATCAGCAAGAATCGTCTTATCCACCAGAAGCTGATCCTTTGTACCCCTGCTATTTCTTTTACAGCCTTTTTGTTCTTCAGGTAACATCTCATTCTCATCCAAGAACGTGTAGACATTTCCAGAGATGATTCCTGTCAACAGCTTCCACATTAATGGCAAGCAGGATATGGGTCTATAGTTATCCACTGCATTGCCATTTTTTGGATCCTTTTGACATAGCACAGTTCTGCCGGTGGTCATCCACGAGGGTATTTCTATTTCATCATTTATCAAATCATTGA